AGTCGATGACCTATTAACTGAAGTAATAATTTCATGAAATTAAGGTAAAATGAGAGCGGCCAAAGACAATGAAACAGTTGAAGATGCTGTCAGCGATTGGGGTGATATACAAAAGATTGAAAGTAAGTCAGTTAAGATATATCATCAAGGATCATTAACGCAGTGATACGCTTCTTGAACCCTTCCTCGTTTCTTATCGAAAAAGGAGTTGCGAAATGAAACGTGATCTGCTCTGTACACATAAAACAACCAAATGAGATTTAAGGAGTGCCGAGGAAAGAACGAAAAAAAAGAATGCGAACACTTTCTGAAGAGGACAATTAACGAATTATTATATTTTTATTTCGCGATGTTCATAAAATATTTGTTATAAATCAGAAAATGAACTTCATCTTATGAATACAATTATTATGTGTATATGAATTACATTCAATAAATGATTCAAGATCATTTGATTAAGATTTAATTAAATGAATAAATTAAAACCAGCAAATGATTCTGATTAACGATAACAGTATCTTATTGTGTGCTACTGATCAAAGCAGATTTCATACATCCTCTTGCCTCGTACGTATAAACCTCGTATACAGTGCTGTGCCAACAGCAAATGAAATAGTTGACAATGGATTACTTATCGAGAAGCATCATCAGCATTTCTCAATACTTTCATTTAATTTTCATTGGGGTGTGGGAGTTCCGATGAGAAGTTGCTCCTGCATAGTTTTACTTGGCCACACTTTGGTACCGATCAACTCTGTAGGAATCGTCATTGTCCACTCCCAGTGAGGTCCTTCCGAACCAAAAAGTTGCTCCCCGACGAAAACCTTCCAGTTGTTGACATTGAACTATCGACACTATAAAGTAACAGAAATTGGTAATAATCAAAAGCGTCATATTATCATTTCAAAATTGAGCTGATATCTCTTCGATCTACAACAAATGAGATCTAGTTGTCATATTCTTCTACAAGGCTACAAGGTTACATTTCTGTTATTGCATTCATAGCAGACTTTTGCTTTGTTTCCGGTAAAGTTATTGAATTCGCCAAGTGGGAGTTGTTGTTCATGGAAAAGAAATATTGCGTGTTCAACATGTGTTCCTTTTGAAGATCACACTGAATGTGCTTTTGATGATCGGCAAAGCTTCTTCTTTGCTGAGTAATACGTTAGAAAGCAATTGTTTCGAAGTGTTTCAGCATCTCAAGCACAATAACTATATCAATTTTGCAAATTCACTAAGAACTGTAGCGAGTAAAACTTAATGGATAAAGATGTCATAATATTATAATTGCTGCTAACAAACAATAATAATTTTATTACTGTTATTAATAACAAGAGTAATTATGAAATAAACTGACGGAAAGATACTAAAAGATTGCTTATAAACACAGCAAACTTCCAACAACATTGTACATAAGAGGAACGAGAATATGAATATCATCACGAAACTGATAAAACGCAAACATTGCAATGAAACAAATCACGTGATGAATTGTGACATGCAACGAACAAGTGATTTATTGACCATAAGCAAATGTTTGCCTAACTAAGAAATTACTTCAGAAAAGAACATCGATAGTGTGTAGCCACTGGCGGAAACGGACAGATAAGCGATTGTTGAAATGAAAATAAATGAAGTCTTTGTTAAGAGTTGATGGTGACTTCACTGCTCCGTTGTCAGGAATTCCACTGAGCTCATCCCAGAAAATCAGTCGCCTTGTAGAGATCAAAT